TGGAATGTCTCCCCACTCTTTTTCTCTTTCTGTCTCCTTTTTATTTATTTATTTTTTATTTATTTATTTTTTATTTATTTATTTATTTTTTTTTTTGTTTTACAAAGCATAAATTCCAGTATTACAAAAAATGTTTTTAAACAAATTTAATTCAACAAACATTAGAAAAAGCTTTTTAAATTATTTTTAATTTTAATTTATGCATACCATATCTCAGCATATTCAATCATTATGCTTGATAATAAAAAAAAAAAAAAATACAAATGTATAGTATACCTCTGGTGCTGCTAGGGAATTGTTGGAGATGTCCAGAATAAGCACCCAAATCAACATGGTCTTCCGTCTCTTCTATTTCCTACTTAACCATCTCTGCATCTGTTGCTGTTATAGTCTCTTTTTCAAAAATGTTACCTAAACTTATTTCTCTCTTACCCAACAGGACAAGTGTTTGTTTTCGCTTACCAAACCAGGTAACAACAATACTATCAACTAATTCTCTTTCATTCCCTGCATGCGATCCACCTTTGTCTGTAAAATTCCTTTCTGTCTGTCTCTCTTTCATTCCAAATAATTCCTCTTTTTACTCTCATCACTCAAACTTAACCAAACTTAAGACAGTAACACACAATGACAGGGAGATAATCTGTGGGAGTGGGGCCATAAGAATCAAGTAACATGTTGCTTAGAAACAGGTCTGGGGGAAGAAGAAGCACTTTTTTTTTTCCTCCTGCTTTTCTCCCTGACTTTCTCTACAGCTCTTATTCCAGAGAATGGTGATAGTCTTGATGACATAAACAAACAAGTTTTTATTCTGTACTCTTAACAAAAATCTTCATCTCTCATTTCCATATAATGTGCTTTTTATGTGCATATACCACATATAAAATTATATCTAATTGATTTTTTTTTTTTTTTTTTTTTTTTTAAATAAAGGCAAATGCTTCATTATTCATTTTAATCTGTGTTGGTCTTTGTAAAGATACAAATCTAATATAAAGATAGTATGTACAATATTTTGGCATTATCAATTAAAATAGAACAAAATATCATAAAAACAAACTGTATCTTTCTCTTTAATAAAAATAGATTTAAAAAAAATACTGACATTATTAATGAACTTAATGCTACAAAACAAAAAAAAAATGAATCTTTATTACTTTATAAAATTTAAGAGAAATTCTAGAGTGACCTGAGAGGAACCAACAGCTGATATCATATAACCCAGTATATTGGCAAGGAGATGGATTCTACCGAGTCACTCTTGGTCATATAAAGGACCCATTAGAAGACAATTTCTACAAAAATCAATAATAAAATCTGATTAATCTATAATCACACATTCTATTCTTTGTTTTCATTTTCTCCCTAATTTTTTTTTCTAATTTCAATTTTGAAACAAACTTTATTTTTCTATTCAATTTATTTCCAGTCATGATTAGACATTATTTCTTTCTCAGTCTTCTGGAAGATAACCATTTGTATTGTTCATGTGCAATGTTAATAGTATCTTCTCTCTTTGACATATTTGTCCATGCGCTTTGTATATGCAAAACCTTTATCCACTCTCACTTATCTTTAGTTTATATTATGCAACGCAATTGCTACCACAAGTCCTGAACACACTTTTCTATTGTTCTCATTTCTTTTATTGAAAAATGTTTGTCCAAAGGCAAACTTGTATTTCCTAGGTGTGGACTTCAACCAGGTTCAACCAGTATAGTCAGTGTAAGTAACTAGCAGCAGTTAATTTCGACTTATTTTACAACTAAATCATTATAGTAGCTGGATTGCCAATAATTAACAACTTTATAGTTCTGTGATTATTATTATTAATATTATTATTATTTAGATACAAACACATGCCTTTGCTGATTTTTATTTAACTTAGAACAGAGAACACCAATCTTTGTGATCCCCCAAAATATGACAGCAAACTGAGTGCTTGTGGGCTATATATAGACCCCACCCCAGTTGAGTGATAGTGATGCTGTTAGTGATAGGATCACTTTTTTTTTTTTTTTTATTCCTTCTCTCCAGCTGCTCCCTCTCTGCCTGATGCTTGGATGAAGATGTTATAAACCTAGCATTGGTATTTCTTTTTCAACTTCTCATCTTTCAAGCCCAAAACTGCTGTTTGCCACTTCTGCTGCTACTACTACTACTACTACTACTTTGAATATTCTTACTACTACAACTACAGCAACTGATTTTGGCAGCCATTTTCTGAGCCTCACAAAGCTGATACCTTAAAATTGAAAATCTATATAAACTACACTGGTTCCTGTCAGGACTACTTTACCTGATCCTCTGCTTTCTGAGTCTTGAAGAAGTTAAAAAAAATATTTTCATTCCTAAAACTCATTCTTCTGCAACCAAAGATTCTAGAGACATTTTATTTTTTTGTTGTTTTTTTTTTTTTTTTTGTTTTGTTTGTTCCTTTGAAAGTTACCAAACTTTCCTTCCTGACTGAAACACAACTATTCACCAACTGGATTATTCTTTGTTTATAACCACTTTCTGCCTCTTAAAACACACACACACACACACACACAAGAGAATTTCTTAGTCTTAGATAATTTTTGATTGTATTATTTTATTATTATTATTGATATCTTGCTTATTAATATTTCTGATTGGTTACTTATTATTGGAGGGGTGTGTTTACTGCTTTCTGGTATCATCTCATTGGCTTATCATTGTTCACATGCATAATTCTCATTGGTTGAATGTTACAGCCTCATTCTGACATCTTTTTGAATATTCTCTTTTTTTTTTCTTTTTTTCTCCTTTTCGCCTAAGGTATGAGTGAGAAAACTTGTTGAACATAAGAAACAAACAGAAGAAAGGAAGAGTGCTGCTCTTGTGTCCTTGATTTCATTCTTGTTTTTGAATTTCTCTTATTTCAACATTTGTCTGTTTGTTTAAATAGTTCTTTTGTCAGTTGACTGCCAGCTTTTTATGCATGTTTTTTTTTTCTTTTTATTAATGTGATATTGTATCATATTGTATAATATTTTTTCATGTTTTTGTGATTGTTGAAAAATAAAAATTTTCTAAATTTCTAGCTTTCCTTGAAGTGAATTAATATACTTTAAACTTTATTTTGTTTTATTTACTATCAAATGTACTCATTAATCTTATATCGATTTGTATGACTATCTTCAAGGTAAAAAAAAAAACCCCAAAAAACTTGTAATCCTAGAACACCACTATTTATCCAGATTTTTATTTTCTGAATTATTTGTAAATTATTTTAAGATAACCACCTTTAGTGTTTATTTGATCTTCTTTGATCTATTTCTTTACCAGAATTTTTTTCCTTTTGTCAATAAAATTAAAACCCTGTTTTCTTCAGAAAAAAGTTATATTTAATAATTTCTTCAAAATCAGTGATTAAGTTAACCACAAAAAACTGGTTATTTTGAACTAAAATCACAGGCGTTTTTCTTTGTTTTTTTATCGCCTAGTCAAACGGCTTTCAGTGATTTGTCTGCCAATATTACGGTTTCTAATTATTTATTACCTGTTCCCCACCTGTGAAGACACTTGTACACCTTATCTACTCTCTTGCTCACCCAAACCTGTTTTGAGCCTCATCTTTTAAAGTAAAGACAACTTACTTAACCAGTAAGCAGAAATCCTCTTGCTACTAATGATCAGTATTAGTGACTATAAACTTGTTTGACTCACCAGTAATTCAGGAGTGCATACACAGTGTGCAAGTTAACTTTGCATTATACACTTTTACCTCATCAATTAAGAGGCTTCTCTGCTGAGTTATTCTGACTACTTGACCTTGATTCTTAATGTTTATATATATATATATATATCAATATTACAACACCCTTTGGTTTATGTCAATATACTGAATCACATATAACTCGATTTCAATGCTAAAATTGATATTTCAGAATAGATTTTTTAAGAAAAGTAATACATGTTTTTGTTTTAGCTTTTAATTATTTTTTATGATAGTGTCCACTTCTTATCTGCTTCCAGGTGGCTCCATTAGCTCCTCTTGACCTTTGCCCTCCTGTTATTGACCACCACCTACTACAACTTATCTGTTCTCTTTGCTATTTAATTCTGAGATTATATTTTTTCTTCATTTACTGTCCATTTCTTGCCACCTTTTGTTCTCCATTTTAGTCATTTTCTTGGTGTTTCTTGAGTTCTTTCAACTTCTCCTCGCATTGGCTTGGTAAACTAAGGTTAGAAATCAGAAAATAACTTATCTTGATTATTTCTTCATTTTAATATTTCTTTATTGATTACAATTCAGATAATCTGATAATTTTATAGTTCTATCTTTTTTCTTTATAAAGAAAAGATTTATTTTTTAAAGTGTTTTCACAAGTTCACTATTCAATCACTTCCTTTCCTCAAAATCATTTCCATTGACCTATTTGAATAATCCTAAGATCTTGATTCAAACCTGAAATATCCTTTTATAATTTCTGATCTCTACTATTTTCTGTAAATATATTATTCTGTTTGAATAATAAACAATACAATTTTTATTCATTTGTGATTGACCAACTATAAAAATGTTTTGTTGTACTGGTTGTAGGAAATCTAAATCCAAGGACTTAAAGCAACTTTCGCAGCAAAATCAAAACGGTAAAAGTCTCGAGAAGTCCGATCAACAGAAAGAACCAGCAGCCGATTCCAAAAACCAACTTCAATCGGCATCTTGCGAAACTCCTCTAGAGTTCACAGAAGCAACAAACAACAAATTTGAAGAGAATCCAGAAAACAAAAACGTTTCTACTTCCAACAGCATCCAACAACCAGAAGAGACAAACATCGAAGACAGAGGGGCCAAAAGCACGCTTGAAACAAGCAAAGGAAACGAAGAAAGCCGAGGGGAAGCTGAAATCTTAAAAAAAGAAAGTACTTTCTCACAATCACAGGTTCCAAACAACAAAGAACACAAGCAAATAGGTGTTGATCAGCATTCAAGTACAGATAGAGAGTCTGGTAAATTACTCATTGAAGACATGTCTTCTGAGCAACTCCTGAAAGCTGTTGACCGTTTGGAGACTGTTGCTACTCGTCTTGAAAAACTTGCTTGTTCAACTGGCAAGAGTGCTCAAAGCAATGCAGATGGTAAGTAAAATATAATCATTTCTTGTAATTTTTAAATTAAGAAAAATAATTATTATTAATTATAAATATGGCAGTATTGCTTAATATTTCTGTTATTTAATAACCCTGTTAATTGTGTGGCTGAAGGTCTCCTGTACACTTCTCACAAATTTGGTACCTTTGCCCGGACATCTGATTTAGAAAGGTTACCATGCACAGTACAACTACAAATTTAAAATTTAGATTGTAAATTTTTAATTTAAGAAAATACCTATTTTCTTTGCCATTAATGCTTTCTGTTTCTCATTCTTTGCTTTTTAAAATGACTGTACACATTGTTTGAATCTCATAATGGAATGTTCTAGAGAACTAATTTTCCCAAGGGTAGCTGCACATATATAGTTTTAAATTATCTGAAAATACATACTAGTTTTTGCAATAGGAAAACTAGAAAATTCACTCTTTTCATATACACACACATATATATATATATATATATCTTTATATATATATACATATATATATATATATATATATATATATATATATAAGTGAACATTGAAGTCAACACTCAGATGCAACAGGCTGTTTCATGCTAGATGCAATCAGGCCGCCTGACGATTTCATCTAGCATGAAACAGCCTGTCGCCTCTGAATGTTGACTTTTATATTTATATTTACATATGCTCTATCTCTGATATTGAGCACTTTATCCCATAAATATAGCACACCTTAAATTATATTTCTTCATATATATATATATATATATATATATATATATATATATATATATATATAGTGTATTTAGGCAGCAAATTCTCTTTTAGGCATGTCTGATTGAATAAATTACAAATATTATGTCTGCTTATTTTTATCATAATCCTTTCATATTCATGAATGTTTTTCCATGTATATATTACAATCAAATGAGGCAAAAAATTCACTGTAACAGTGAAAATCACTTTTATTTCCCAAGTACTTTCCATTTCTTTCTGGGATCATTACCAGGTGTGCAACGGGTAAATAATTTCACCATTAATCACATTAACATTGCTATTTAATTCTTTGTATAAATTAAACTGTTTCTTTATGATGTCCATCTATCATATATGGTGGACTCTCTCGTCATGGGCAACAAATGGTAAAATAAAGAAGTGCTCAATTTTTATGGGCACACACGTCTCCCGAGGCTTGCAGGTGTTTTGCAAACTTCCAGACCGATTAAACATGTGGCTGAGCATCATTTGCCATTTCTGTGAGTAGATAGCAACGTCTGCTTTAATGCATGCGACAAAGCCACAGTGGCAGGTAAGGCTATCATTAAGTGGTACAGCATGCTGCCAACTTTCTTTAATATTTGAACGCAGTTGATCAAATGATGTTTAAGTCAGTTTTTTCAAACCTTTGTATAGATTAGAAGCAGGGCAGGTGCTATCTACTTCTCTGTGACATTTTGTTTTTTCCCAGTAAGAATGAACACACACACACACACACACACACACACACACACACATATATATATATATATATATATATATATATTTTAATTAAAAATATTTTACATTGTGACACAGGAATTTCTATGTTTTGAGACTTAATGTTTTTATCTTGTCATCAGGTAATGTTCGGTAACTTTGAAAATGATTTACATTTGAAAATGGAAAACAATGTTTGCTTATTAAAGAGTTAATATGGAGTGGGGAGGAATCCAGATTTTTAGATCTTTTAATCAGAAGAAAAGTCAACGGTAAGTTTGAAAAGTTAAAAGTATAGGTTAGATGTTAGGGGGATGTATGGTATTCATACATGTCTCGAGGAACTGTCATTGCCAGAGAACTGTGGATTCTAAATCTGTTTATTTTTCTCTTCATTTGTGTGTGTGTGTGTGTGTGTGTGTGTGTGTTAAATGAACTGCCCACACAAGTTCAAAAGTAGGAGCTTTAAAGATTATTTTGTCTTTAAAATTGGCTGAAACAATATCATCCAAACTTTTCTCCTCCATACCAAGAGGTAGATCTTTTGTAAGTTGTAGAGATTTTGGTTCCGTTATTCTTTGCGGGTGGAGATCTCGTATTGGTGAATGTAATGTATTAAACTAGCACTGCCTTTGATAAAGGATGTCAATTCAGGTTTGACATCACTTTTACCTAGCATCTCGATTATAGTCTTATAATGGGTGACAGAGAAAGAACAATAATGCTTAACTTTCTCTATCATTTTATAGAAAAGGTTGCTATTGTCCAACAGTCTATAAATGAAGATCATTAATTTAATCTGGTAAATATTTACTTATATGAATAAAGGGATGGGATTATGGTTAGAATCTGAACCCTATCAGATTCTGCTTTTTATCACTTAACAACATTCACTGCTGAATGTTTCTGCACAATATTCTATACAGTCAATTTGCACTTTTCTTTATAGCAGACCAGAATTAATATAAGGCAAATAATCCAGATAAGAAATTTCAGATGTTTTTTAATATATAATTTCTTCACATTATAAACTATAAAAATTATTTTCTTTAAAAAGGAGAAAAAGATACCCCTAGTTGAAACTGACATAAAAGTGATCAGTCATTGTATGAGTCACCATTCGCTTATACTTAATATTTTATTGTAAATCAATTTCTCTGTGTCTGTGAAAGCATTCATCACTTATTGATAAGTATATCATTATTTTTTCAATATTTTTGTTGTTTTCTTTTTTTAAATATCCCTTTTGCATATTGTATTATGAGACTTGTATAGAATCTTTTATTGTGTCATACCAGTAACAAGACCTTTTTTCTCTTTTAAATAAAAAGTGTTTAGCCTATATAATAGGTGGGTTAATTGCTGATAATATCTATAACACATGTGCACTGTTTGCCATAATTTTTTTAGTTTCAACTCAAGGAAATTTAAATAGTTTAAAAAAAAAAATTGAATAACATTGTACTGGTCTTGAAATTTCTTGTTTTTTTTTTTCTTTTTAATCCCTACCTACTTTTATCCAAATTTTTGTTTTCAGAAATGTTTAGACTTCAAATAGTGAGGCCATGTGTGTTTGTGTTTAAGTTCTATGAGAATCCAATGCAATGGTGAAGATATAAGACTACTTATATTACTACTTTGACATGTTTTACCAATGACCTGTCGTCAATAATATGAAATAAAAAAACATTTTCTGACAGTGCCAATTCAACAGTGAAATACGTCAAAGAAATTTTCAAAATTGTCTTATATATTTCATTCAGTTGGAATCTTTTAGGCTTCTTGTTGATTTAATTTATATAATAAAACATTAATTATATTTTAATATTACATGAAATTTTTAATATGAAAAATGAAGTAAACTTTTTTAATTTCATGCTTTTGGTATATTTGATCAAAGCACTTCTGAGAGTCTTATGGTGATTCTAGATTAGATTCTCCATCTTTCATTTTAAAGCATCAGCATCAGCTGATGGTCTTCCACTTTATTTCAAGGAACAAGGCACTGCCTTCAAAATACTTAAACCAATTTTGTGCTACATGGTCAGATATTATAAATGCTTTTTGAACTATGCAAGCAAATTTATCAGTGCTGAGGCCCAGTTTAAATTGCCAAAATCCCAATAATTATATTTACTGTTATGACCTTTTAAGAAAAGGCATGTTTGAATAGTATTGATGAGGGGAATAATATCAATACTGGACTCTCCCATCATTTTTTGATATATGAGGGTCAAGCAATTCTGTTCCCAGGAAATGACAGCCAGACACTTGCACATATGATTCGATTGCAGTAGTGAAGGCTTTGCAGAAACAACCACACTTTTTGAATTCAGAGTTGTCCTTCTAGACCAGTTGCCATCCAAGGCTATAGAACCCAGTCTGTCCTGCTATTTACCCATAGCTGGGGGGAAAAGAAGAGGATTCATAACTAAGTCATGTAAGTGAATGTAATGGATCCGACTGGAATTCAAACTCAGCTCTCTGATTCGTCAATCCGAGCCACTATCCATTACTCCACCGTACATTCAATATAATATAATAATATAATACTAATATATTTACATCTACTATCCTGAATATTTGAGAAATTTTTCTCAAATATTCAGGATGGGACATTAATTTCACCAATGCCAACCTTATTAAAAAAAGAACATAACACTTTAAAGAGAAAATATTATGAAGACATATTTATAGCAATACTACCATTTGTTAACACACATTTAAAAAAAGACTACATCACTTTACCATTTTGCTACAGATCCATTATTCACTAATCAACTTATGTCTATCTGATATATACAAAATGCACAAGAGAGATGCTTTAATGAAAAATCAAACCAAAACATAATTTTTCAAAAACATTGTGCTGTGTCTCACTAACTTTACATACTTTAGTGTCCAGAATGTTTCTCACGCATATTTGAATATTATCTATTACTTCATGAGAATGACACATATCTAACAAATAATAAATAACCAAACACAACTTACCATTAATCTGCATCTCTTTGCATTTTATCAATTTTTATCATTTCTATCTTGATTGCTGATGAAGATTTATTAAAGGGAAACATGTTAGATTAAGATCTATTTTCCTACTTGTTCTTTATCCTATCATATATATATATATATATATACACACATTTGTTCACTTTGAATATTTTAGGCACAGTTGGTTGTTTAAAAATAGAATTTATGGAAAAATATATTCAGTTATCTTGTTATGACAAAAAGGTGGAGTTAGTATTTTGGTTCAAGTATACAAAATGGCTTGTCAGTCTGTCATTTTTACATCCCATACCAAAGATTCTTGTAAAGAATCTTCTAACAACTCTATATACATCAGGAATTCCTGTTACTCATTTGCCATTCACACTCCTTTCAACCTGAAATCATTGCTTTTTTTCAATTCTAGAATCTTTGTTTTGATTCATAAGTTTCCATGTTGTCAATAACACTAAGAAAAATTTTTGTTTAAGTCATATTTTTATTATTAAAATAAAAATGCAAATTAGTACAAAAATTGGTAATTCTTCTATCGGA